TCCACCACAGAGGTACTCAGTAAATAGCTGTGGAACAAATGTAATTCAATCCAGCTGGCTGTAGGGAAACTTCAGAAATCTACAATCCTCTGGATGCCAGCACTATGAGCAAAACGGCAGTTTTTATAACAAAATCCTCCTCTTTCAAGCCTTCATAGAAGCATGACTTTAATTAAGCAATGAGTCTTTCTGGACCCTTGTATATTTACACAACCATATCTCTGATGCCAGCAGAGGTGGGCATTGCCTTCTTTTGGTTCCTAGTTCCTGTGAGAAAGTCAACAGTGGCTGCTGACCTAGCTTGGGGGTGAGCATAACTATTAAACACCAGCACTCAATAAATTTTACTGTTGGGGTTATTCTTTTACAGTGCAGAGGACTCTATGATAATCTTGTTGTAATTGTGTGAGTCTCTGGGCCAAATGTGTTTAAATTATGTAGCAAATGTCTCAGCTCAGGGCCCATAGCACAGTGATTACAGCACCAGCCACATACAGGCGGGTTTGAACCTGGCCGGGGCCAGCTAACTAACAATGACAACTGCAACAAAAAATAGCTGGGCGTTGTGGTGGGCGCCTATAGTTCCAGCTACTTGGGAGGCTGAGGCAGGAGAATCACTTGAGCCCAAGAGTTTGAGGTTGCTGTGAGTGAGCTGTGATGCCACGGCACTCTACCAAGAGCTACATAATAGACTCTGTCTCAAAAAAATAAAAAAATATATAGCAAATGTCTCAAAATAGATCTTTCTACTGATCAGGTTTTTGGGAGATCTGAGTTCTGGTCCCCGCAAGTTCTTCCCTCAATTTTCTAGTATCTTCCATGGGAAAAATGTGGGCTGCAGACCAGATCATTAAGACCCTTTCTTGATCTACAATTATGGTTTTCTTAGAAGAGTTCCCATTCCTGAGTCACTAAAAATGCACGTGATTATCTCATTGGCTTTCCCAGTACATAAAAGAAACTTTTTTTTTGGTGACCTTTGTATTGGTCAGTAAGTTGCCAGGACTTTTTCAGCTGTGAATGGCAGAGCCCTAACTCAGACTGGCTAAAGGAAACAAGGATGTCTATTGGCACCTGTGACTGGAAATTTCAGGGGTAGAGACGCCTCTGGCAAGCTGGATTCCAGGACTTATAGGATATAAGGAGGACCCAGTCTCTCTTTATATTCTAGCTCCACTTTCTCCTGTGTTTATTTCACTTTCACGTAGGCTCTCCTCATAAGAGGACCCTAGCAGCACGAAAACAATACCTGCCAGCTTCAAATCCAAGAGGAAAAGGGCTTCTTAAGACTTTCGGAATGTTAAAAGCTGAATCTCATTGATCTGCTCTGGGTCATGTGTCTTTCCCTGAATCAGGGGTATGGAGAGCCAAATTGGCCAGATCTGTGTCATACCCTATCCCCCTGCCTCCTGGAGCTGAGGTGGTGGTGGGGCCGGCCCACCCAACAATGTAGTGGGAGAGAGCAGCGGTCAAAAGACTTTATTTCAGTCGCCATTAAGCTATAATTTTCTTATAGGTACTGAATTAATTTTGCATGGCTTCTGTAAAAAATTACTATAAACTGGGTGGTTTAAAATAACAGACATTTATACTCTCACAGTTCTGGAGGCTGAAGTTCTGAAATAAATGTGTTGGCAGGGCTGTACTCTCTCTGGAAGCTCTAGGAGAAAATACATTTTTTTTTTTAAGAGACAAGGTCTTACTCTGTCACCCACTCTGGAGTGCAGTGGCATGATGATAACTCAGTGCATCCTTGAACTCCTGGGCTCAGGCCATCCTTCTGCCTCAGCCTCTGGGGTAGTTGAGACTACAGGTATATGCCACCACACCTGGCTAAGTTTTTATTTCTTTTAGAGCTAGAGTTTCATTGTGTTGCCCAAGCTGGTCTCGAACTCTAGTCTTCAAGCAATCCTCCTGCCTCAGCCTCCCAAAGTACTGGGATTACAGGCATGAGCCACCAGGCCTGGCCAAGAAAATACATTCTTTGCCTCTTCCAACTTTTGGTGTTACCATCATTTCCTTACAGCCATATCACTCCAATCTCTGCTTCGATGGTCATCTTATTTCCTCCTCTTATGTCTATTAAATATCCCCTGTCTTCTCTCTCTCTCTTTGTTTTTTGGAGACAGAGTCTCACTTTGTCACCCTTGGTAGAGTGCCATAGCGTCACAGCTCACAGCAACCTCCAGCTCTTGGGCTTAGGTGATTCTCTTGCCTCAGCCTCCCGAGTAGCTGGCACTACAGGCACCTGCCATGACACCCAGCTATCTCTTTGTTGCAGTTCGGCCGGGGCTGGGTTTGAACCCACCACCCTCGGTATATGGGACTGGTGCCTTACTCACTGAGCCACAGGTGCTGCCCCCCTGTGTGTCTCTTACAAGGACGCTTGTCATTTGATTTATTTGATTGTTTTTAATATAGTTGATATTAAAATTATGTCAGTGTGAGGGGGCCAGGCATGGTGTAATCCTAGCACTCTGGGAGGCTGAGATAGGAAGATCACTTGTGCTCAGATGTTCTAGACCAGACCAAGGAAGAGCAAGACCCTATCTACACCAAAAATAGAAAAAATTAGCCTGATCTAGTTGCACCTGCCTGTAGTCCCAACTACTCAGGAGGCTGAGGCAGGAGGATTGCATAAGCCCAGGAGTTTGAGGTTGCAGTGAGCTATGATAATGCTACTGTACTCTACCCAGGGGGACAGAATGAGACTTTGTCTCAAAAAACTCCCCCCTAAACAAAAACAAAACAAAAACCCAAAACCCAAAAATAACAACAACAACAACAACAAAATCCTAGTGAGAATACACCACAGTTAGAAAAATATTTTCAAACCTGACTTCTTATTTCAAATGAGTAATAAACATTTCAAATCTCAACGACTGGCCTTTTCTTGTGTAGGTAAATGTTTCTAGGAACTCCATACTAGATTAGAATTGAAACAGGACAAAAATCTTGTGGACAGATCAACAGAAACTCAAAGAAGACAGCGGTGTAATACATGTTTTCAAATATATGTCATTTTGTCCCCTATTTCCACCCACATTCAGCCTAAGCACCTGCCCTTACTGGTTGCTCAGGTTGGACTGGGAGTGCTCTGGTTGTTGGTATTTTCCCTTGAGGCATCTTGGCAGCAATTCTGGCCGTTTAGATCCTTGGATATCACAGGGGCTGGGCAGGTGGCTCTACGCTTTATCAGCAGGATGAGTCTTACAGGTGTTTCACATGGCTGGTGACTGGTGACTAGAGCCTGGCAGACATTCTGCTCCTTTGATCTACCAACCTTCCCCAATTCCGGAGTTAAGGAGCACCTTAGATTCTTTTCTGTGCTTCGCAGGTGCAGCTCTGTTTTACCATCAAATACCATGTTCTCTACTTAAAATTTGTGGAATTTGAGAAGAGAGAAAAGAGTTGGGTATTGTGGGTTTCTGCTTCTTTTCTGCTCTGGAGAGTGGACTCAACTTAGATCTGGCACCCAAGATCAACCTGTGTATGTTGGCAGCGTTAGTTTCCAGTGTTGGAGTCAGAATGATGTAATGGAAAGAGCTCTGGCCTGGGCCATTGGTGGGCAGATCCTGTTCAGCCACCACCTTGCTGAGTGACTTTGACCAGCCTCTTCCCTTCTCTGCTTCTCCATTTTCTGTGTTTAAAATAAGAGGATAGGACTAGATGTTCTGTGAGGCATCTTCTAGCTCCATCGTCTGTCAGATCTCTACAACTTACACTGTCCCTTCATTTGGGAAGTCTTACAGGCCATTTCTTTTTCTGGAACTATTGCCTTCTCCTCCGCCTCCGAAATTGTGGATGGTTATATTCAGCATGCCTCTAAATAAGGTCCCAAAGTACAGGATTGTGGTTAGAGTTAAGAGTGGTTCCCAGTAATGACTATATTAGGCATTTATTACACATTGAGTGGGCACTCCAGGCAGGTGCTGGGGCTATAAAAATGAATAAGATGGAGCACCTGCCCTGAGGAGCACACAGTCCAAAGATGGAGGCAGACGAATAAATCATCGATCAAATTACAGTGTGATAAATATCACTATACGGTTATTCATAAGGTGTCATGACATACAGACATGTAAGTCTCTCTGGAGTATATCAGGGATGGCTTCCTGGAAGAGGTGACACATGAGTGGACACTGAAGTGATGCATGGGAGTTTCCTAGGTGGGACAGGGATCAAATCAATCAGAATGCTCACAATTAGTGTATTCTCTCAACCGATACTTGCCAACTGTCATGGGACATATTGGCTCCTTTAAAGACAAAAAGCTATGTCTTCCACTGTCTAATTATTCCCATGGGTCTTACACATGGATTGAGACAGCTGTGCTTTCAATTGGAACCCCACAGGCAGGTCCTGAGTGAGCTGGGAAAGCTGGATGGACTTCAACTTTGATAAGGACCCTGAGACAGCAGAACTGTGGGCTCCAGCAATACCGTTTTTGATATTCCACAGTATGATGAATGCTTGCTGTCTGCATTCTGTACACAGAAACATTCCCTTCTCTGCACCCCTTTTCCTTTTCCACTTCTGGTGCAAGTTAGGAGGGAATGGAGAAAAGAGAGATAAAAGCTGTTGGCTTCTGAGTATTTCTAAGGTCTCCCTGTGATTCTACTTAGTCACGCACGGCAGGCTTCTTGGAGGAAGTACTCAGAAACGAAGGTAAGGACTAGCTTGATTAATTAGGCTGACATCTTAGCTAGGCTCTTAGGGCTCCTCACCGCTGCTCACAGCCAAGCCACGCTTCCGTGCCGTTGACCTTTGTTCCTCTCTAACCTCCCACCAAGTAGAATCAGGTTTGATCACTTCCCCATTTCCGTTCGCTGGCTGGACATGTACCTTAGGTTCATGATTCAAAGCTCTCTCCGTCTAACTGGTTCCCGGCACCGTGCGCTTGGACTTGGGCGCCGCCAGGCTGCGGCCGATTCTTCGGACTGTGAATTACCTTCCGCGGCTGCGCTTGACTCCGCCCCCCTCACCCGGCCGGTGGTTCAAGTGTGGGACTGGAGCTGGGAGCCGAGAGGCAACACCCCTTGCTCACACACTGCAACCTGCTCCCTTGGGGAGGGATCCTCCGGGCTCCAGCTCCCGCTCGCTCGGCTCCGCCAAGCTGCGGGCAGCAGAGAGCGAGGAGGGACCGAGACCTGGCGCTGCCGGTTAACAGTCCCCGCAGGAGGGGCATCGTAATTACTCACTGCGCTAATTGCCCGTCATTAAAGTTCAGGAGACAGTCCGAAGAGGAGCCTGGAGTGGAAGAAGAGGCAGGTGGTGTCTGGGGCTTGGGCTGCCGGCCGGGCCAGGGTTAAGTGCTTGCCTTCCCCGCTGCCCGGCTTTCGGCCAGCTCGCCTTCAGTGAGAGGCCAAAGTCACTGCCAGGGACCCAGAAGGTACGTCGCGAGCCGGCCGACCCACATCGGACCCCTCCCCCATCACGGCCTCTAGGAGGAGGCAGAAAGTGGGGGTTCCTGGGTAGGAAGCCCCTGCCAGCCTGGAGTCCCAGAGCAGAGCTCGAGAGGGGCTGCGAGGACACAGAGATGGCCGATGAGATTGACTGGCTGGACTTGCCAGGCCGGTGGGCCTACGGAGTTGACGGCGGTGGGAGAATCTTCTTCATCAAGTACGTTGCTTTTCACCTCCTTTTAAAATTTCCCTTCATTTTTTTTTCCTTTAAAGTTGTCCAACTTGAAAGGTGGTGGGGCTGGGGGCAAACTGGAGAAGGTGGGGGAAGCTGTGGCTGGAACAGCGGGCATGACTAATAAGTTTATCACGATGCCTGTTTGAATATGTCTCCCGCCTTTTCCTCAATGGATCAAAGTCCAGTGAAGGCCCAGGGTTCCCCCAGCCTGGAATGGCAGGGTAGGGCAGAGGAGGTGCCGGCCTTCTCCTGTCCCTGATCACTGCCTAGGTCCCCAGGAGGATGACTAGACCAATGCCCAGCCTGGAGTTTTATTCAGCTTCTTCCACTGAAAGGGCCAGAGGTGGGTCTCTCTTCCCTCAACCCTCAGACTTTCCTACAGGGAGCCTTGGGCTAAGTGACAACTTATTAGGAGAACCTGCCTCTACCACTCAGTTCACTCCAGACAGTGTCCCCAGGACAGCAGCTCCTCTCCCTTCTTCCTGCTCCTTTATGGGGCTTTGGTCGAGACAAAGAAGAAGACACCCACCGTATACTTAGCATTCTTCAGAGAGAGAGAGAGAGAGCCCTTGCTCCTCTTAGCAATACATTAGCACTGTTATATTAATTTCATAAACTAAAATGGCTTGGGCAAAATCTCATTATAACAGAGTGGCCCTGCTGGCTCTCTCTTGGCCTGCTTCTACTACAGTCATCTTTTGCCAGGATAGAAATCTCCCAATGATGAAACGTGTCCAGAAGCACAGCATCCCGAACTGTCACCCACCCTTGATAAGCTTCCCCTTCCTCAAGAAAGTCACTCACAAGACATTAGCACTGAAGGGAAGCTTAGAAGCAACCCCTTCATTTTTCAGATGGGGAACTAAGGTCCAGAGAGATTGCAAGTACTGGTCTGAGAGAAAACCACTTGTTAATCAGAGCTGGACTCAGCCTAGCTGGTGCTGGCTCCACTATGCTGCTTTTCCCCTGTACCAGACTGTCTTCTCAGGGGCTCAGTCAGGCAACGGCTCCTCTTTGGTGTGTCTCAGTTTCCACATTTGCTTTAGGCCTTTCTTCTGTAATTATCAATGTCATTACCATAATTAATGTTGCAATTATATTATCTTCTTAGAAATTAACACCACTAAAGTTCTTGACCCTAGGTCAGATTCTTTAATAATTGAACTTCTCCTATATTAAAACTGGAGTCCCCTCGGTCAGTGACTTGGGACTTTATAGTTCACAGGAACTTATTAAAACAGCTGATTCCTGACCCCTGCCTTGGGAGATTCCTATTCAGAAGATCTGGGGCAAGGCCTTAGAATCTGAATTTCTACAAGTCCCAATCACAGTTCTGATGAAGTTCTGATGAAGTGGTTAATTCTGTTCTTTCTTCCTCAAGTCTCTTGCTTGCTGTCAGCTTCTTTTCGTTTCTCATTCTAAACTTTTATTGCGTGTCCACTCTTTGTTTGCTGCAGCACTAGGTACGAGAGATGAGAAAACAAGATATAGCTTTTTCCCTGTAGGGTAGCAGTGAGAAAACAACAATCAACGTTTATGAAGTAACATAATACGTGCTTGAGATGTTTGCACGATACTAAAGGAACATGGGGAGGAAAAAACTAATGCTTTCCTAGGAGTCCAGGGGGTGCCTCCCCAAGGAGGAGGTGGTTCTGGAGGAGATTGACAAGTGGAGGGGGCTTTGGAAACAGAGGTCTATGGAAAGAAAGGCACAGGTGGGTTCTGGGGTACAGGTTTCTTGGAGCATCCAGAGGGGCTCCATGGTGATGGAGCAGAGGATGCCGGGATGCTGCAGAGGGTGAGGCAAAGCAGATAGAAGGCTGGAGAGAGGCCTTATTTGTGAGGCTCAGGGGTGTTGGCCTTCATCCTCAAGGCCATGGGAAGCCAAAGGAGATTTTAAACAAGGATTTGACATAGTCAGATCAGCATTTAGAACCATGCCTCCATGGATGTCATCAGCAGCTCCATGGATGACGATTTGAAGTTTGAGTGGAAGGTGAGGGGAGAGACTTGAGGTATGGCAAGCAGTTAGGAAGCAATTTTGAAAATCTGGAAGACAGCTGACAGGGATCTGAATTAAAGTGGTGAGAATAGAGGTGAAGAGGAGGGAGAGATGGGAGCAATCTTTAGGAACAGAATTGAGAGTGTTCATCTACTGCCTAGAGGTTGGGGAGGGGAGAGGAAGATAATCAAAGATAAATCTCAGAATTTCTAGCTGGGTTTGACAGAGATTAGGAGTCTGGGAAGAGGAGCACGTCTGAATTTGAGGTCGCTACGGGACATTCAAGGAGTGATGTCAGGCAGACAGGGGGATGTACAGGACAGGGGTGGAAGAAAGAGGCCTGGGCTGGAAAGAGAGTCCTAGGAATCATCATGTGGAAGAGAACCACACAGCAGTGTGTGAAGGAGAAACCAGGAGGGTTCTCAGGCAGCTCCAGCATTAAGGAAGGGATCGAGAAAGAGAGGCTGGGGTTAAGTAAGACCAAAAAGTCCCAGAGTTGGGTGGTGCCAGGACCAGGGTAGCGTGCCACTCCAGAAGGCAAGGAAGAGGGATGTTAAGAAGCAAGAAATTCAATAATGTTGATTGCAGCAGAAAAGCCAAATGGGCTAAAGATTAGAAAGTACGTACTGGATTTAGGAAAGTAGTTTCCCAAGGAAAGTGGGGAGGATGGGAACAGGAACCAGACTGTAGAAGATGGGTGACTGGGATGCCGGAAAGTGGGGAGAGCTAGGGGAGACTAGTTTCTAGGCAGGATATTTGGTCAGCAAGAAGAGAAGTGTGAGATGGGGAATGCTGAGACTACAGAAGACACAGCAGGAAAGGAGGGTAAAGGGATGGGTCCCACAGGGAGAAAAGTCAAAGATTCAAATCTGGGCTTCTCAGGAGAATGAGGAACTATAAAAGATGGGAGCGGACATGAAGTATCACCCAGGAAGAGGGACTAGCCTTTATGGGAGAAGACCACCTCTTCTCTAATGAGGAGACAGGATTAAAGGCTAGGTGAGAATGTGGGTAAATTTTGGTAGTAGGATGCTTGGGTGTTTTCTGTTTTTTTTTCTTCTATTAAGATCTGGGTAGGAAGGGCAGGTTTGAGACTTGAGATTGGTGGGAGCCTTAGAACACCCTTCAAATGGCACCTGACTGGGGACTTTAGAGGATATTCTTGGAGGTGCTTAGGGCCCAGCTAAGCTTGGACTCTGGATTCATAGTGGCAGAAGTCCTCCCAGTTCCAGTTTCCCCATCAGCCCAGTGCTGGAGGAGACACAGACTGTGACTGCTTTGTTCTAGGCCAGGGGCTGACAAGGGGAGGGCAGTGAGAAGACAAGCGGAGAGGAAGTTGAGGGTTGTGTTGGGAAGTCAGGGTGTGGTGGGGTTGTCCATGACATCCAGGTGGGGTGGAGATAGGTGGGAAGTCGGAGAGAGCCAGCAGTGTGAGAGAAGGGGAGAGTCGGGGCTAGAAAGTCTCAAAGTAGCTGAAGAGGAGATGTAAGGGGATGTGGGCATGGCTCAATTTCACTCCTATCCCTTTCCTTTGTTGGCTTCCTCTCCTTTGAACCAAAGCCAAGACCAGTATGTTAGAGGTCTTCTCCTCCCAGTGGCTCCAGGGCTCCAGGGCTCAAGGGTTGCTACAATAGTGACAAGTTTCTTCTCTGTTCATTAGAGGGGTAGGGAGGTCAGCTAGGAATTCTCTTCCTCTACCAGGTGTCCTACACTAGAGAAAATTAGTGGAATCGAGAGGGAGGAAAAAAGTGTATGTTCAAAGACTTGTACACAAATGTTCATAGCAGCTTTCTTGGTAATGGCTTGAAACTGAAAACCCCCTGTCCATAGGTTCATCAACAGGTGAATGGACGAACACACTGTGCTACGTCCTGCCATGGAGCGCTACTCAGCAATAACATGGAGCAAACTGCAAACACACACTGCAACTTGGGAGAAGGAAAGAAGGGAAGAAGGAAAGTCAGGCAGAGAAGTCTGGCTTGTACAATTCCATTTATATAAACCTCTAGAAACTCCAGAAAATACAAAAGAATCTGTAATAACAGAAAGTAGATCAGTCTTTGCAGGGGTTAGGGTGAAGATACTAAGAGCTGAGATGAGGGAGGGAGGAATTATAAAGGGCACAGGGAAAGTTACAGGGTTTCTTTCTTTCTTTTAATTATTATTATTTTTTTTTTTTTGGAGACAGAGCCTCAAGCTATCACCTGGGGTACAGTGCTGTGGTGTCACAGCTCACAGCAACCTCCAACTCCTGGGCTTAAGTGATTCTCTTATCTCAGCCTCCCGAGTAGGTGGGACTATAGGTGCCCGCCACAACGCCCAGCTATGTTTTGGTTATAGTTGTAATTGTTTGCCAGGCCCAGGCAGGATTCAAACCCACCAGGTCTGGTGTATGTGGCTGGTGCCTCAGCTGCTTGAGCTACAGGTACCACCAGGGCTTCACTTCTTGATATGGGGATAGTTTCACAGGTATATACATACAAGTATGTCAAAACTTACTAAATTGTACACTTTGTATGTAGTCTCAGATATCTTACCTTGATAAAGATTTAGAAGAATCTTTCTCAGTGGAGTTTATTGTATGCCAATTATACCTCCATCAAGTGGAGTCTTATCCTGGGTCCCAAGGCCCCACCCTAATGCCAGGATGACCCAGATGATCTGAGAGTCCTCTCTTCCACATACCCATATTGGCCAGAATGGTCAGGTGCCTACTTCATGCTGGGTCACATCTGGTCTGGAAAGTTGTATGTCACGTGGTTGGTAGGGGGTTGAGAAATGTCACTGGGCTCATCTGCCATCAGACAACAAGCCTGGAGGATCGGCATTGTTGGGGTACACTCCAAACTTGCTGAGTGTGAGCTATTAGAAAGAGTTTGGGTTTGGGCCCATAGCATAGTGGTTACGGAGTCAGTCACATACACGGAGGCTGGCGGGTTCGAATCCAGCCCAGGCCAGCTAAGCAACAATGACAACTGCAACAGAAAAATAACCAGCATTGTGGCGGGTGCCTATAGTCCTAGCTACTTGGGAGGCTGAGGCAAGAGGTTGCTGTGAGCTGCTACACCATGGCACTCTACTGAGGGAGACACAGTGAGACTATCTGAAAAAAAAAAAAAGAAAGAGTTTGAGTTTTGTGGGGGACAGATCTAGTTCTGAATCTTGGCTTCATCACTTTTTGGTTATGATTTTGGGAAAATTGCTCAATTCTCTGAACCTTGTATGCACAGTCTGTAAACTTCCTACTGTGAGAGAATGCTGTGAATGAAAATATGTGGCTCTGTAGACACCGGAGGACTATTGGTTCACTCAGCCTCCTCCTCTTCTTATCCGTTAGAGAAGCGGCCAGTTAAGGATGGTCCTGTTCTTCCCACCTGACTTCAGCAATCACCTCAAGTGTTTCCTCTTTAGTGAAGCCTTCATGCTTCTCCTCCTTAACCACTTTATCCCCGTTAGCATCCTTTTCTCTGCCATGGCAATGCGTTTTCTGCACACACAGAAAGTATAACAGGGATTAAACTTCCTACACATCGTATTGTTACCTCTGTGTACAAGAGGGGGGTACGTTCTTTGAGATCAGGGATCAGATATTCATTTCTGAGTCCTCAGAGACCTCTTTGTAAATCCTTTGTGCACGTGAATGAATGGATGGTACATGACGCTCTCTTCTCTGCTGTCTGGGATCAGATAGTCAGTGCCGATGTGAATTTGGAAATAAGTGTCCCGCTCAGGGAAGCCTGCCTTATATCTTGACACTTTCTTATTGGTCTTTCTGTAGTGATGAGGAAAAGTCAACCAGCTGGGTCCACCCTAGTACGAAATCACCCATCCAGAGTGGACATTCCTTTGGCCCAGGTAAGAAACTTGTCTGTCCCTGCCTTTGCAATTGAGGAGGAAGCCATAGCTTGAGAGGGCAGCAGGAACCCTTTGCCTTAACTTTGCTTCTGAATTTTGCCTCTCTCCATGGTCAGACTCAGTGTTTGAACTGCCACCTGGGATACTGAAAGAGGGTTGGTGCTCCCCTCGAGGCCTCTCCAAGCTTCTACCTCTATGGTTAGTATCTGGGACAGACTTTTATGAACAAAGATTTCATGCCTCTCTCATCCTCTCTCATCCTGTCTGTCCAATCAGAAAGTCCCCTCTGTTTTGAGATCCCCTGAACTGGCCAGAAGAAGACGGACAGCGCTGGCTGAACCCTAGAACCATATGTCATGCACAGAAGATAGGAAGCTTCCCAATCTATGCAGCCCAATGCAATTGCCATGAACCACATGTGTCACCGAGCAATTAAAATGTTTCTAGCACTACTGAGGACCTGAATTTTTGATTTTAATTAATTTAAGCCTAAATAGCCCCACATGGCTAGTAAGAACTCCTTCTCACTGGGGAGCTATGTAAAAGAAAGGGGACAAGACGAACACTGATCGGTTACTATGGCAAAGACACCACTGCTAGCCCACAGGGACCTCAGGGAGTGGGAAAGGAAGGACACATCTAAGTCAATAAGCAAAAGAGGCCAGGTGCAGCAGCTCACACCTATAATCCCAGCACTCTGGGAGGCTACAGTGGGAAGATCACTTTAGGTTAGGAGCTTAAGACCAGCCTGAAGAAGCATGAGACCCCGTGTCTACCCAAAATAAAAAATACTTAGACATGTGTGGTGGGCGCCTGTAGTTCTAGTTACTTGGGAGGCTGAGGCAGGAGGATCACTTGAGCCCAGAAGGTTGAGGATATAGTGAGCAGTACTGATGCCACTGTGCTCTATGTGGGGTGACAAAGCAAGATTTTGTCTCGAAAAACAAAACCAACCAACCAAACAAACAAAAAAACCCCACCAACAATAACAACAATAGAAAAAGCAAAGGAAAGGATTTCAGTCTGAGGTGAAGAGGTAGAGATGCCAAGAATCAGAGGCCTGGCTCAGCGCCTATAGCTCAACCGGCTAAGGCGCCAGCCATGTACACCTAAGGTGGCGGGTT